AGAAAAAAAAATAATAATAATTAATCGTCATCGGCACTACCTTCACGAGCCGTGCCTCGACTCGCCATACTCTTCTTATCCTACCGGCGACGAGCATCCTTCATCGATATAGGGGAGTAATTAATTTTTTTTTTTATATTATTTGTACCGCGTGACCCGTTCTTTCGCTATGAATCTGCTTCAGGCCGTTCATTACGCGCTGCGGTAAACGAACCCAAGTCTTCAGATAAATGTCGATTATCAATGACGCTCGAAAACTTATTGGCGAGGATTTTGCGCGCTGTACTGGCAGCCAGCCTTACAGAATAACATGGTGACGCCTATCAAAGGTGTTTGCGTTTGATAATTTTATTTGAAAAAAAAAAAGAAAAAAAAATCGTTGAAAGAAAAGTAATAACAACTCCCATCTTGCAGTATAATCGTAAAACCAGTATATATAGAAATAAATAATTATATCGTAACGAGGAAAACTCTCGCCAACACAGACTGATTATTCCGTAAGAGTAAAAAGTTACGCGCCGTTATACATAACTTCATTACGTAATTATTATTCTATCATACGACTCTGAACTCCACGCGGCATCGACAGTTCATTCACTGACATATTCAAATCGTTCGATCGTCTCCCGATGTGATAATGATATATAACGAAGGTAGTTGGTCCCGTAGGAAATATGAAATACGATATTAGTAGTATTATTGTTTTACTGAACTAGGCGATGATACTCGGTGACAACGAGAGCTTTAACGTTCGTTAGATTATTAATTATAATTATAAATAAATTCAGCGTTTATATATATATGTATACACACATATACTCACATAGTATGTGGTACTCCTCGTCGACGCAGGTCTCGTTTGTTCGAATAGTCCTTTAAGAGTGAGAAAGAAAATTGAAAATTAAAAAAAAAAAGATAAAAAATAGCGAATGCCTTTCCCTCACTTTGTACAATATATAGTATATGTGCTGTAGGAAGGTTTTCGATGCTCAATCAATGATAAAATTGTAATTTCTTATCGTCCCTCGTAATCGTGAGATATCGTTTGACACTATATCTATAGCTTGACAGTGACAGCTACGCCGACGCCAATCGATATCCTTATAGGGTGGGAGGGAA